GAGTGAGCTCAAGATACAGAGTTCAAAAATACATATCTTAACTGCATACCACTCCATTCTCCTTCAACTCCTCTATTAAATCCCCTGTTAGTGGGATGATATGTGATAAAGCAAATAGAGTAAAATACTGACTACAGATTATAGTGGTGAGAATACGGGTGTTGACTATACTCAATTTTTCTGTATGCTTGAAATTTTTCATATTAACCTGTTGGTGGAAAAATGTTCCTTCTGATGACATGTGATAACTACACTGATAACAAGACTCCTGATAGAAACATCTCCCTCTAGGAAGACTACAATCAGAAGACAGAGCTATCTGTGATACAGAGGTGAAAAAGTAGGAAGCACTAAGATATTAAATGACAAATGCAAAAGACAGAAGATTATGACAGATTGAAGGTTTCTAAAAATGGCTTCCTGATACTCYTCCACTTAACCCAATCCCAAACTTTTACTAGTACTGCCATTCCACACCCCCACATTGCTGGGAATTGAACCCAGGGCTTCAGGCATACTAGTATCTGTATCTTGTATCCCTAGTCCTGTATTTAAAAAAAAAAAAAAAATGTATATTATTATATATAATTTTGCCAACCATTATCAGTCATACATTAAATCTAAGCTTGTAAGCCAGTACAGAGAATTCAAATACCTTTATAACAGGTCAAAACTAAAGAAGATAAAAAGTAAACCTCAAAACACACCAAGACAATTTTTGAAGAACTGAAATTCATTTTTCATGTTATCACACAGTTCAATGGAAATACTAAATGGCACACATTCTTATAAAGATGATGTCACAAGAGGCATTTATCACACTCAACTAAAAAAAAAAACACGTAGGCAGCTATGTCTTAAGTCAGACACTGTGGTGCACAGATCACTGGTCCAACCAAAAATCATTTTGTATGAGGTCTTCAAGTTATTCACCCTCCACCTTCTAGTCAACCAAAGTTAAAACAACACTATTAAATACTGTTTTTGGTTGTGGGTATACCCCAGTGGTGAAGCATATACTATCCCCAGCATCAAAAATTTTTTTTTATTTAAAAAATTTCAAAACAGGGGCTGGGGTTGTGGCTCAAGAGGTAGCGCGCTCGCCTGGCATGCGTGCGGCCCGGGTTCGATCCTCAGCACCACATACCAACAAAGATGTTGTGAACTAAAAAAATAAACATTAAAAATTCTAAAAAAAAAAAAAAAATTTTCAAAACAGTTGTGAGATGCTGTCTTACCTAAGTAAAGAGACAATCTTAGGGCAGAGGTCCCCCTCAAATAAAAATTATAGGTCCTACATTCAGGAAAGACTACCTTTTTTTCTTAAAGATTTTTAAGATGAACACAATATCTTTATTTATTTTATTTATTTTTATGTGGTTCTGAGAATCGAAACCAGTGCCTCACATGTGAGGCAAGTGCTCTATCACTGAACTATAACCCCAGTGCCAGGAAAGACTATCTTTAAAAAATAAATCCTATCTCATATTTTATACCCAATGCCAATTTACTGCTATACAGGAAATTATATACCAAAAGAATACAAGCTAGGGGCTGGGGTTGTGGCTCAGCAGTAGAGCACTTACCTAGCACATGCATCCTCAGCACCAAATGAAAATAAATAAAATAAAGGTATTGGAGCTGGGTTTGTGGCTCAGTGGTAGGGTGCTTGCCTGGGTTTGATTCTCAGCACCATATATAAATAAATAAACARAATAAAGCCCCATCAAAAAATTTATAAATAAATAAATCAATTAAATAAGGGTATTATGTCCAACTACAACTAAAAAAATAAATAAAATTTAAAAACAAAAAGAATACAAGCTAAATTATTCTCACTATAATACGGTTATAACATAGTTTATAATTCCTTAAACAAGAAAGCTTGGGGCTGGGGTTGTGGCTCAGCAGTAAAGCGCTTACCTAGCACGTGCAAGGCCCTGGGTTTGATCCTCAGTACCACATAAAAATAAATAAATAAAATAACTACAACTACAACTAAAAAATAAATATTAAAAAAAAGAAAGCTTGCAATTTGTGAAACCTCAGTTTGCCTTCATTGCTTTTATTATTTTTAATTGCTTATAATTCTAYAACATTAAGTAGCTTCAACATTAAGTAGCTTTAAGCCCCACAAAATTTAGGCCCATATTTATAATTAGCAATTTCTGAATAAAAAAAATTCAAACTATAATATCAGGAATATTATTTGGTTAAAAGCAGAAAAATATTTCTGGTGTGAAAATTACGTATGTACCTAGATTTTTCACTAAAATAATGTTTGCTACATATTATCCCTTGACGTAATACAGCTTAAACTCTTCTGTAAAGGCACATTTCATTTACATCACTTAGCTATATCACTAGTCAATACCAAATGTCAAATGCAATCTTAAAAATCATACTGAAAAAAAAAAAGCCAGGAACTGTGGCTTTCTGGTGTCCAGTATGAGGGTCTCTTGGAATACTCTACTACCACTGAGCTACATCCCCAGGTCTTTTATTTTTTTTATTTTGAGACAGGGTCTGGGTGAGTTGCTGAGGCTAGACTTGAACTTGCCATCCTCCACTTCCGCCTCTCTAGGTTGCTGCAACATTATGCACAGCAGGAACTACATATTCCCTCAGAGTCTTCCAGTAATAAAAAGAGCAATAGTAACAATGACAACAATAACTGGCAATTACTAAGCACTTAGCAAAGAGTAAGGCACTTATCAGGCTCTTAATATTTACCTTTCCCTTGATGCATCTCTTCAGGATGAGTGATATGTTCAAGGTTACCCCATAAGTGGTGGGGTGGGGATTAAGGAAGGATATAGTTCCCATAGTGGGCATTCAACAAGTATCTGACTATATTTTAAAAAGCTAGGGCTAAGGTTGTGGCTCAGGGGCAGATGGCGTATCTTGCATAGGTGAGCACTGGGTTCAATCCTCAGCACAACATAAAAACAAACGAATAAAATAAAGATATCATGTCCATCTACAACTAAAATATTTTTTAAAAAAAAGAAAAAAAAGCTAATACAGGGATGGAGGTGTTGCTCAGTGGTTAGAGCACTTACCTAACACATTCAAAGCCCTGGATTGATACCTAGCAACAGGAGCTGGGGAGCCAAAACAAGACATTACAGGTCCATGACTTGCTCATATTAATTAAATTAAATGTAACTGTTGTGTGCATACATATATATTTTTKGGGGGGTGGGAGGATACCAGGAATAGAAGTSCCTCTGGAGGCACTTAACCACTGAGTTACATCCTAAGCTCTTTTTATTATTGCTTAGGGCCTCTCTAAGTTGCTAAGGCTGGCTCTGAATCTGCTATCCTCCTGCCTCAGCCTCCTGAACCACTGGGTGCCACCACACCAGGTTTCTCCTTAGATTTTAGTCTTGGAATTCTTCAAATAACATCACATACTATGATTGAGTAATGAATTAGCAGCAACTTTTTATTTTATTTATTTTTTGGTACTGGGGATTGAACCCAGGAGGGCTTTACCACTGAGCTACATCCACAGCACTTTTTGAGACAGTGTCCCACCAAATTGCCCAAGCCAGCCTGGGCTACAGCAGCCTCCTAAGTATCTAGGATAAAGTGGGATTACAGGCTTGCACCACTGCAACTGGCCAATTTAACTTTTAAAAAACTAGTATGTAGTACTTTTATATATCCCATGCCACTACTGATTCAGTATTTTTAACTTTTAAAGSAAATTCAGATAACTATATGACATGCAAAAAGAAGAAAACTTCATCTAAAATAATTCACTATAAAACTGAACATCTTTTCCAAGTGACAGAGTAAAGCTTTCTTTCAAAAAGTTRAAGACGCAGATACATTCAAATTAAGTGAACTTTACAATTTCTAGTTATATACATAGAAGCCAGCAAATGGGCAAATCCCAAAGACTGGTTATCTTACAAATATCAGTTGTTTGTCTTTCATCTCAATTAGTTATAGAAACAATTTCAAATGTCCWACCTAGAATCATCTAAATAAGTTGAAAATCAACAAATACATTTAGAAGCATAAAAGTAAAATCAATGCTAAAGTTAAGTTTGGAGAATATTAACCAAAAATTAACGGGATGCCAGAACTTGTCCTTCGACTTTACTCAACTTCACAACGTACCAGTTGCATTCTGAGTTTCATGAAACTGCTAGTAATTCTCYGAGCTTCCTTGTTAACACTAACCTACACAAGCAAAGCTCAGACGCGCAATTTTGCTCGGATTACACTGAGATTCTTGTTTCTATACGGGGGGGGGGGGGGGGGGACGAATAAGACAAGTCTTGTCTTCCTCAAGGGCCTGTAACCACCACGGACAGTAATGAAAAGAAAAGCCTAGAGTCACACGGAGCCCGTTCTGCTCCAGCCATACCTAATGCATTAAACGAAGGTCCATTTGGAAGTTTGGGTCTGGTTTTTTGTTGTTKTTTTTTTTTAATCTTTATGACACCAGGCTCTTTTCAGAACCTTCTCTATCAGATCGGGCTCCTCACAGATAGCATCTCAATTAAGTTTCTCCACGAAAAGGATCATTTTAGAACCCTTAAAGTGGAGACGTGCCAATCAGAAGCAACCTGGTGGTCCTAAGTAAGTTTGGAGGCCGCCAAAGTGGCCCGTGCAAACAGGCATCCAACAGGACCGACTCCGGGTTAGAGATGAAGAAAGAAACCAAAAAGAACTCCTTCCTCCATGGGGAAAAGGGACAACCACCTCCAAACCCGCCTAATCTTCGTGCCAACCAGGGCGGGCGGCGTCCGCCCGGGAAGAAAGCGGAGGGTGGAGTTCACTTTTCCCTCCGGCCCGGAGCGCCCAAGCCCTCCCCCACCGAAGCGCCAGAACCAGGCCCGCGCCGCGGCCCGGGAGGCTGGGAGCCAGCGCCCCGCGAGGCCCGCGGCGGCCACGCGAGCCCGGCAGCCGGGCCCAGCCCGCCGCCCTCGCCGCCCCCGGCCCTCCCTGGCCCACCCCRCAGCCCCCAGCCCGCCGGCACTCACCCGTCTCCCACCACCACACACTTGATGGCCTGCATCTGGGCCGCTCGCGGGGCCGCGGCAGCGGCCGAGCGCTGAGATGAGAAGCGGCGGGCGCGGAAAGCGGCGGGCGGGCGGACGCGCGGCTGCGGGCGGCGGGGCGCGGGGTGCCGGGGCCGCTGTCCACGCCGCCTCGCCCTCCGCGGACTGGAAGCTAAAGCCTGGCAGCGGCCACCACCCAAAGCTGAGGAAAACTGCAGAGAAACAGGAAATGGCCGCTCCACTCACATCCGGCCTCCCCTCCCCCCGCGCCGGCGCCGCCGCTCCCAGGCTCCGGGCGGGGCCGCTCCCGCCCGCGCGGCTCCCGGGGTTCCTCTGGGCTTCGGGAGCGCTCGGGAATGCTCGGAAGCGCTCGGCTCGGGCCGCGGGCGCGCCTCGGAGGGCAGCGGAGTGGCCGCCATGTTTGCGCGCTAATACTCCTGGGCGTGTCCAGGCCTGGAGATCCCCACCTCGCGGTCCGCCCRGCTTTGGGTCTGAAAAGGAGACCCAGGTTCCGGGAGCCCCACGGGCCCTMGTCAGCTCCTGACCAGGCCCGCCGAACCACCTGCATCCCCTTTTTTTATCCTTTTTATATAATAACCATAACTTATGTCATTGATATGGGTCTTTCCAAAAAATTCGAAATCTAAAATTGTACCCCGTACCATTAAAATAATCATAATGAATACTTTGGGGAAAACGGAGGATTGGCTCAGTGGCAGGTCTGTAGTCTCTGCCACTGGAGAACCAAGGCTGGAGGACCAAAAGTTCAAGACCAGCGTCAGCAACTTAATGAGACCTTGTCTCAGAAATTAAAGACTGGCGGGTTGGGAATGTGGCTCAAGCGATAGCACGCTCGCTTATGGGTTCGATCCTCAGCACCACATACAAACAAAGATGTTGTGTCCGCCGAAAACTGAAAAATAAATATTTAAAAAAATCTCTCTCTCAAAGGAAAAAAAAAAAGAAAGAAATTAAAGACTGGTGATGCGGCTCAGTGGAAGAGCACCCCTGAGTTCAGGCCATCAACAGCAGACATGCGCTTGCGCACACTCACTCACAGAAGCCAGGGTGAGAAAAGAAAAGCCTCTTTTAAAGGTTGTGGATATCTGCAGATAAGAGAATACATATAAATATTATATATATTTATAAATATTATATATATATAAATATATATAAAATTCATCCATGATTAAGAAAGGAAATCTAAACTGGGTATGATGATGCATGCCTGTTGATCCCAGAGACTGGGGAGGCTGAGGCAGAAGGATCACAAGTTCAAAGCCAGCCTGGACAATTTACGGAGACCCTGTCTCAAATTTAAAAAAATAAGAAAGCTGGAGGAGTAGCTCGGAAGTAGAGTGACCCTGAGTTCAATCCCCTGCAGGAAAGAAGGAATGAAAGTGAATTCTATCTGAAAACAGGAGCATTTCAAAAAATATCKTTTTGTTTATGCGGTACTGAGGATGAAACCCAGGGCTTTCTGCTCTACCACTGTAAGGCCCCACCCCAAAACCTTGGGTTTTTGTTTTTGTTTTTCTGATATTGGGACTTGAACCCAGGGTGTTCTACCACTGAGCTACATCCCCAACCCTTTTTTATTATTTATTTTGAGAAAGGATCTTGCTAAATTGTCCAGGCTGGCCTGGAGCTTGTGATCCTCCTGCCTGAGCCTCTCAGAGTTGCTGGGATTACAGGTTTGGGCCACCATGCCTAACTTTTTAAAAATTTCTTAGAAATTAAAAAGCAATAAAGACAAATTTTTAAAATGAAAATATAAATAAATAAACAAGAAAGAAATTAAAAAGCAACCTAGCCAAAATTCAAAATTCAGTGGAAAGAACGAAGAAAAAGCAAAGGAGGGAAATGTTGAACCACGATGCAAAGAAAAGGCCACCAACTCCAATTTTAAATCAAATTAAAGCAAGCTTATATTGTGTACACAGAGAGAGCTGGCCAGCCACTGTCTCAYCCAAAGCCAGGCTGGAGAACAGCCGCCCAACTCTCCAGGAAAAAGGCTTGATAGCATAAAAAGTAACAAAAGGGGGTGTGCTGGGAACTTACAGCTAAGGAGATTCTGGCAAGCATAACAAAGGCAGGTAGCAGGTTAATGATCTACATGATTCAATATTTCAGGAAAGGGATTAAATTGATATTCCAACATCAGAATTGATGAGGGGCTGCTAAGATTTTATGAAGGGTTATTATGTGGTCAAGGAGAGCCAGGCATGGGTGAGTTTGGAACACAAGCAGGAATTCCCAACAAGATTAGCCCTCACAGTATGGTCAAGCCAAATAGGTATCTTAGTCAAACAGAAATGAGCTTTTTATAACTTTGTGCMGAGATGGCTCCCAATCTTAGAATAGAATTAGGTTGGGTTCATCAGGAAACCTTCATGAAAATACTGAAAAGAAATTTCCCAGGCCTGAAGGAGTTTACTGATGGAAAGTGCCAACCCCTATGGATGAAAACAGACCCACTCAGAGGACATGTTGAACAATGTGAACAGATAAGATACTACAGGCTTCCAAGGAGAAAACACAAGACTTAAGGAAACAGGAAACAGAATGGCTTTGGGTTTCTCAGCATTAATAGTGGTGGGGCATTGCTTTCAAAATTCTGAAGGAAAATAATGTTCAAACTAGAACTCTACTCATAGCCAAACCAGTGATCAGAAGATGGGTAAAATAAGAACATTTTCTATACAAGTTCTCAAAAAAAAAAAAAAAAAAGTTTTACCTCCCACATACCATATCCCAGGAAGCCACTGGAACATATGTTCCTCCCACAGGAGGAAAGAAAACAAAAGAGGATATGAGAGGCAGAAACTGGAGATCAAACAGAGAAGAAAGGAGAAGACATCCCCCACCCCCCACCAGCCCAGGTCATGCTAACTGCTCCRTGAGCAGCCCACGTTGGAGCATAGAGACTTGGTGGCTTCAACCCACGCTGAGTCTGGTGGCCACTTCCTCCAGGGTGAACAGCCCAGGGAAGCAGCACTTTTGTTGGCCTGCTCAACTCTGATGAGGGACCTTTGAAGTGACAGCAAGAAGACAAGAATGAGAAAACAGAGAATTGCATCTTGCTGCAAGTGCTTATGCTGGTACCTAGGTCTTTCTTTTCTCCTTGTTCTTTCAAGCGTTATATTATAAAAAAAAAAAAA